TCTTGGGATCTTGGGCACGCACACATGCACGGTATGATTTAAGCCACCGGGTCCAGGACTCAAACCACAGTCGACTACGTGGGAGTCCAGCGACATAGCCATTACGCTACCTGCTGGTCCCTTTAAGATTTTCTAACAACTGCATTTAAAAGGTAGTTTATTTCCTGATACAGACAGACAGACGGACCCGGGACAGGGTCGTGCCGTGTTACAAGTCTGTCCCTCCTTACTGGCTGCAACCACCAGGATCAGTGCCTAGGCCGCTAGTAGCCACGCCGTAAGAAGTGAAGACAGGGCAAGATGTGACACAGCTGAGTAGTGGAGTGGCTTCTGGGATGACTTCCATGTTCTTGGAGTTGGGGACAAAGAATTGAATAAAACATGCCAATAGCGAAAGGACAGGGTAGTTTATTCCGTGAAAGCGGAAGCGCGCCCCTGAGAGTAGGCGCCAGCCTTTGGAGTGCCAGAAGGCCCTGGCAGTTCCATCCTGTCCTGTTTATGACTTTCTAATCTGGTTAGTGTGAGTTGGTCATTGGCTGGGCCCACTGCGTCACCTCATTGGCTCTATCAGATGTGGCTTAATCATTGCCTCGCTACCTTGGGTGGGGCACTTTCTGCCCCGATCAGTTCTCAGTCCAGCCACATGGGCGGATGCTCCAGCCCCATGACCTGCTCCCCCTCCCTAGCTTTCTCCTGCCTCGGTGGAACGCAGTGCTCTGCCGACAACGTCTGGGTTCCTGGTTCGAGTATAGAGACCTCCCTACACATGCCCATGATCCGTGCTGGCTGAGGGCTGGGATAGACCTGAACATCAGGATCCACTAGGGGTTTTCTCTGTCTCTGTCTCTGTCTCTGTCTCTCTCTCTCTCTGCCTCTTGGAAGAAATAAATAATAAACATTTTAAAGTGAAAAGAGGCCAGCAGGTGGTGTGATTAAGGTACTGGACTTCCACATGGCTGACTGCAGTTCACATCCTGGACCTGGGGGCTTGAAAATCACACCAGACGCATGTGTGTGCATGCGAGTCCTAAGAGGAGAAGAGACTGTGGCTTGGCCGTTCCCCTGGGGGTGATTTTTCACTTGTCCTTTCACTGTCTTTTCCTGGAGAGCACACAATACTCTCTGGCAAAAGCCTGAAGGAAAAAAGAAACAGGGAAATAAATTTTAGCAACTTTTTATTTGATCTATGTCTAAAACATTATTTCAAAAAACAATATATGGCCCAGCCCTGTAGCCTAATGGTTAAGGGGGCTGGATCCTACAGAGCTGACCACGGTTCGAACCCTGGCCCTAAATGGCTTGAAAAACATACCAGGCGCTTGTTCATGCCCAAGAGCCCGAGAGGAGGAGGACAGGGAGGCGGAGGGACTGCAGCATGGCCAAGCCCTGTTGGGGATGTTCTCTACCTTTCTCCTCCCTTTCTGCCTCCCGCCCTCCCTCCCCGTCTGTCTCTGGTGAGTGCACACATGTTCTAGCAATTTAAAAATACACTCAGTATAAAAATGACTAACATCATAGTTTGTTTTGCACACCGTCTCTCGGGGCTGGTGTGCGTTCTCCACTTGCGCTCACCTCCACTCAGACAGCACATTCCAGGTGCTCGGTAGCCAGGCATGGCCGTGGTCACTGTGTTAGGCAGGGTAGGTCTGGACACTGAGGCCCTCTGGAGAGTGAGCCCGGCCCCGATCTTGGTCTCGACGGCAGCCCTAGTCGGCCCTCAGTTCAAAGCTGGCCTCAGCCCTCTTTATTCTTTCCCTCCCAAGGTGGCTAGCATTAAAAGAAAAAAAAGATAAATTTACTTTTCCGGCTGCAAACTGTGGCTGAGCTTGCCCACTGGAGTTAGTCATCCTCAGAGCACCCGCCAGGCTCTGGCTTATCCAGCTCTTCTGAGTCTGGGTCCCTGGCACGGAGTTTACAATCGTCCGGGAGACTGGTGTCAAAGGGAGTGTGAAAAGAGAGGCCACTCACTTTCCCTGACACGCCAGAGCTGGGGAGCCCTGCAGGGAGTGTGCACAGCCAGGGGCAGGCCTTGGTGACTCACCACTTCAGCTTTCCCTAGCTCCGAGCCTGTCATGGAGCGTGTACCAGTTAGGGGAACTAGGGAGTTCCACCTTCCCCTGGCATCTCTTCCATTTCTTCATTTCCTACTTGTCTAGAGAGAAGGGGTCATGCAGAGGGCAGTTTATATGTGTAGCCTTTTTTTAGAGAGATTTTTCCTGTAGGGTGCATGCACTTTGCCAGAGAGACAGAGCAAGACGAGACAGAGAAACAGAAAGCAAGACATCACTCCCCAAGGGGGATGGCCACACCACAGTCCCTTCTCCTCCATTCTCCTCCATTCTCCTCTTGGGATTTTGGGCATGCATGCACGTGTATCTATTGTAAGTTTCAAGCCACTGGGTCCAGGACTTGAACTGCAGTCAACCATGTGAGAGTCCAGCGCCTTAACCACTATGCCACCTGCTGGCCCCTGTGTATCCTATTTATAACAGTTGCTTTGTGGTTTCCTTATGTTGCCTCAGAATGTAGCCAACTCTTCCCCTAGGACACTTAAATTCTCTTCTCTGGGGGGCCCTTTTTGGGTAACTTCCTTATTTTGAAGCCCTCCTGTTTTGTAATGGCCTAATGCCCTTTCCTGTGGGCTCTGACCTTTCCTACCACCACTGGGCACGGCGTAGTGAGCATTTATCCACTTGACAGACATTTCCCAAGCACCACGCTGTGCCAGCCCGGGTCCCAGACGCTGGAGATACTGTGGAGAAAAGAATGTGGCCGCTGTCCTCGGCGGTCTCGGAGGGAGACGCGGACTTGAGAAGCCCGGTTCTGGAGCAGGACAAGATGTGCAATGATTTGTGTACGCATGCACAGGGGAGGTCACCGGGCAGGGCGGGCAGGAGAGGAGAGGGACACGGGCTCAGACTGGCCAGCCTCCTCACCGCGCTTTGCTTGTTCCCACAGGCCGAAGCCCAGAGAGTCTGGCAGAAGCTGGGTGATGTGCAGGAAATATTTCACAAGAGGCAAGTGAGTCTCCTGAAACTGGCAGCCAAACAGACTCGCCCAGTGCAGCCGGTGGCCCCCCATCCTGAGTCCTCCCCAAAGTGGGTGTCACCGAAAGCCAGCCAGCGCTCTGCCTTGGGTAGGTTATTTGGGAGAAGGGAGCCGGGTGCTTTCCATGTCTCGTCAGCGTCCGGTCACCTAGAACAAGCAGTGCTCATGGTTTTGACATGTCATTTACAAGAAAGTATGGACGTGGCGTGGCGCAGATGCAGGGGGTCACGGAGTGCCTGGGTGCGCCCTCGTGAGGGTGGGTGGTACAGGTGGACAGACGGCACTGGCGTCACACAGAGGCCTGTAGGAGGCTTAGCACTCGCTGACGATGGAGTGGTAGAACTGGCTCCTGGAAAAGACACCATCAGAAAGACCTTACCCAAGGTCCTGGTTACTACAGCTATTAGTAAGCCTTAAAATCAGATAAGACAGGTGTTCCGCCCCTGTTCTTTTTCAAGGTCATTGTGGCTATTTTGATCCTTTTCATTTTTCTCTACAAGTTTCTTTTTAATTATTTTATTTAGCTTTATCTATTTATTTTAATTTGACCAGAGAGAGAAAGGGTGAGAGAGAGAGAAAGCAAGCCATCAGGTCCGGGACTTGAACTGTGGTTGGCCATAGGGGAGTCCAGTGCCCTTAACCATCATGCCACGGGCTGGCCCCATTTCTACGCAAGTTTTGAATCACCTTTCAAATTCTGCTGTGATAATGACTGGGATTGCGCAGAATATATAGATTAATTTGGGAAGAGCTGTTGATATATTGAGTCTTCCAACTCACGAATATGTTATAATTTTCCATTTATTTAGGTCACTTTAATTTTTTTCAACAATGTAGTAGTTTTGAGTGTTAAAGTCTTAGGCATTTCATGTTTATTTTTGTAACCCTGTAGTAAATAGAACTTACCATATGTAACTAATAATAAGACTCTATTTCTACGTAGAAATGTAGTCATGTTATCTGTGAATAGGAGCAGTTTCCCTTCTCCTCCTCAAGCTTTGCTTTTCTCCCTCGTCTTATGACTGGTACCTCCATCCAGTACTTAATTTGACCAGAGAGAGAAAGGGTGAGAGAGAGAGAAAGCAAGCCATCAGGTCCGGGACTTGAACTGTGGTTGGCCATAGGGGAGTCCAGTGCCCTTAACCATCATGCCACGGGCTGGCCCCATTTCTACGCAAGTTTTGAATCACCTTTCAAATTCTGCTGTGATAATGACTGGGATTGCGCAGAATATATAGATTAATTTGGGAAGAGCTGTTGATATATTGAGTCTTCCAACTCACGAATATGTTATAATTTTCCATTTATTTAGGTCACTTTAATTTTTTTCAACAATGTAGTAGTTTTGAGTGTTAAAGTCTTAGGCATTTCATGTTTATTTTTGTAACCCTGTAGTAAATAGAACTTACCATATGTAACTAATAATAAGACTCTATTTCTACGTAGAAATGTAGTCATGTTATCTGTGAATAGGAGCAGTTTCCCTTCTCCTCCTCAAGCTTTGCTTTTCTCCCTCGTCTTATGACTGGTACCTCCATCCAGTACAGCATTGAGCAGAAGTGGCAAGAGCAGACGTGCATGGCTTTTTACTCAACTTTAGCAGAGTTACTATTTCATCTTTAAGTACGATGTTAGCTGTAAGCTTTTCACCAGAGCTTTTTTTTTTTTTTGTGAGAGGTTTTTGCTATAGGGCACGTGCACTCGACAGACAGACAGAGAGACACAGAGAGATAGAAGGCGAGAAATTACCCTCCGGGGGGATGGCCACGCCGCAATCCCTTCTCCTCCATTCTCCTCTCGGGATCTTGGGCACGCACATGCACACGCCTGACGTGAGTTTTAAGTCACCGGGTCCAGGACTCGAACTGCAGTCAATTACATGGGAGTCCAGTGATATAGCCATTACGCTAACTGCTGGTCCCTTCACCAGTGCTTTTTATGAGACTGAAGAAGTTCCCTTCTATTTCCAGTTTTTAAGTTTTATCTTAAATTATTGTTGAATTTTTTAGATGTTCTTTTTGGTTCATATATTGAGATAATTGCATTATTTCTCACTTTATCTCTCTATCTCTGTCTCTTTCCAGTGAGTGCACATGCACTGTAGTGAAATTAAAACAAAACAAAAAATTTGAGCTTCCTGGGATGGAAACTCTTGGATAGGAGGCCCATGTTGTCTGTTCCATCATTTTTTGTAAAGCTCTGTTTGAAGTACTTACCTCCTCTTTGTAATTAAATGTCTCTCCTTCCCTCTTTATCTCTAATAATACTTTTTTTTTTTT